GCTCTTCCGATCTCCCCAAAACCCCAAAACCCCAAAACCCCATTCAAACAACTTAAAGCTTTACTTGTACAGCCAATCAATTTTAATGAATTAAGATTTATTAATGCAAGGCAAGCTAGCTAATCATCTTCTATATCCGTTTTTAGGCTTGACATAGAGGTTACTCTAACCTCTAGTTGTTCTTCTTTATGTTTGCTTAATTAAACATTCCTCACAGTGCCATTCTCCTTGAGGAGACTTTTTAAGGTTTGCACATTACAAATGGGCAACATGGGAGCAGGTTTCGCAGCATAAAACGTTACCACCTTTCATGCACACATAGCAGGCATCATCCCACTCTCTGCTATCCTCTTCTTCTTCATCCTCTTCATCACTGTTGTCTATCTTCTCATCCTAAGATTCATCTTCTGATTCCTCAACTCTTTTCTTTCCTCTTCCTCGACCAGGCCCCTGTGGCTTTGCGCTTCTTCTGCTTCTATCATTAGACCTCTCATCCTCTGAGCCACTCTCTTCATCTTCAAAGAATTGCTTATAACTTTTATTCTTTCTTGATTGCATTTTCTCAGCTTGATTTGATACTTATTAAGGTTTTTGTCCTTTGTTCTGATTGATCTTTTGCTCTTTCTTTTGCTTCTTGTAAAGTCCATCAAGTTGCTTCTATAGGAATTATCCATTTATCTTTTCCAAAATTCTCACAGCTATATACAATGCATTAACATTTCCATCTTGGCACTCCTAGAATACATATTATCTCCAAGCATCTCTAAGTTCCTTGCTGGGCCAGAACTTTAAGAACTTTGACTTAATTCTTCTAACATTCTTGTCGAAATCTTAGCCTTCTCCATTCATCATTTTACTCTCCTCATTATCCATTTTTTAGTCATCACTTTCTTGCTAACTATCTTACTGGTTTTGATCATCATCAGATTCATTCTAGTTTTCTTTGTTCACATATTTAAGAATGTGAGGACTACTAAAACCCTGATCAAGTCTTAGTAGTAATTACTACAAGTCATCAACTGTCTAAGCCATAACAATTTACTCCTTTATTTTATCTCTAACAATTTTGTGATCCCACTCTCTTTAGAACTGTAAACTTGAATCAGTATATAATTCTTCAATGGATAAGATATTGTTTCTCAAAGATTCGAATGTTACTTTTTCCTCATCTCTAGGCTATTAAGCTTACTTTTAAACGCCTCCTCTGCCTTATCTGACCATTATTGCCTTATTTTCCATCATGACCTACCTCTTAGTCGGCATTTTCTTGTTAAACCAAATTGCATTTGTTAGCGCTTAATAATAGTTATCATTTTCGAATAGAGCGTGTTTATTTTAAGCCACTTCTTGTTAAGATTCCTCTTCCATCTCAGCGTCTTATTCTTCTTTCTTCTCCTGGTCATTTAATTGAATGATTGACGAATCTTCCTACTTTTCCTACTGTTTTTATTAGAGTTGTTGATCATTTTAAATGCCAAGTACAGATGAGCCTGCTGGTTATGGAGGTTATGCAGCTTATTTTTTGCTTTTTCTTAGCTTAACTCTGTCTCTAATCTTTCTTAAATTCTCTTATAATTTTCTCTCTCTTTAACCTTTGATGTTGCATGCTTCAATTAGCTTTTCAAATTCATCCTCTAAGTCATAGTAGAACCATTTAAATATTATGTCAACTTGCTCCTCTTCCTCATCTATCATTGCTTGATCTTGTTAGATAACATTTTCTTCTTTCCTTTCCTCTACTAGATCATTAATTTTTACCTCAACATGTTTTGACCTTCTAATCTCCTCATATTTCTTGACAAACAACTTTCCAGGCTCCTCCTTGAAAAACCAATATTCGTTTTTTTCTGCATCTTTACCCAACATTGAAGTTTTAATTGAAGTTTTGTGTGCTTATTCATTTAATTTCTCTATCCTCATTTAGCGTTTTTCAATTTGATCCTCTATTTTTTGCATCTCCTTCATTATCTTATTCTTTTCACTTTGAAGTTCTTGAATTTGCTAATGAATGATTTTACTTTGAATTCTATTAGCTTAACCTAATTATTTTTTTAAGTCCTCAATCTTGTTTAAAATTTCTTCTGAATTGTTAAAGAAATTATTGTTAGCATGTTCTTTTATAAGCTCCTATTTTTAATTTTCTAGTTATTTTATCTCTCCATATAGATCCATTTTTTGTTTATTATAAGATGATTTTTCTTCAACTCTTTGATTCAAGAATATTCTAAAGTCGTCTAAATCATGGATACCATCAATTAAACATTCTAGTAACTCTGCTTTATCAATATAGGAAAGTTTGCTTGAATAAGTTTCAGGCGTGCAACTAGCTAATCTATCACATATTGAAGCGATATGTGGATCTAGTGGATAAAAATCAAACTTTTTCTGGGATTTTAAAATAAGTCTGATCAGCTCGGGCCAAATTAACTCTGGTTTATCAAAGTTTTTCCTGACTTCCTCAATCAAAATATCCTCTTCTTCATCTACATTCTCTTTGTTATTAGCTTCATTAGAAGCTTTGAGTTTTTCTTCTTAATGCTTAAGTTCATTCATGAAAACGTTAACTATTGCCACATGAATAGAGTTAATAAGACCGAATCCTTACTCAGATACAGTCTTATTATTAATTTATTCTTCCCAATCTGGTTCTTAGTCTTCTAAATCTTGCTGGCTGTAGAGTTAAACTTGATCAGGCTATTAGTTGAATGATAGTGCTACTTAAAGTTCTTCAAATTTAAAGTTTTACAGGTTCATAAAATCTCCAAAGTTGTTGAGAAACTCCCAAATATAAAGTAATCTTTCAAAAGATGCTCCGTCAATCAATACTTGCTTAAGTTATGGTTTTTCAGGAAAGGTGTCAGCTCCATGCAATAAAGGCATCTTTTTAATGAGTTTATCCTCTATCGGGTACTTGATTTAATTTTTTTCTACCTATTCAGGATAAATATTTGAGAATATTTTCAATTAATTTCTATATTCTCTCATTTTAGCCTCTTTTGCCCTCTCTGCTTCAGATTTTTCATCGGATTTCTTTTGATTAGATGATGCGCCATTAGTTAATCCATTTCCTGTACTAGGGATTTTCTTCTTGATATTAACAGATGCTGACAAATCATTCGGTGTTTCCTATCCATTCATTTTAGATCTATTAGGACTAATACCTTTAGAGTCATGAGAATTTTCAGCTTTTCCTTCTTTAACACTAAGTTATTGTTATTGGCTGCTAGCATTGGATTACTATTGCTATTATTACAACTATTGCTATTTCAATTATAACTCTTTCTATTGTTATTCCTCTTGCTTTTTAGCCTTCAATTCTAGAAGTTCTTTAAGCTTTTGTTCTCTCTATCTTTATTTCTCTTCTTCTTATCTCTATTTTTCTAATCTTTTTTCTTCTCTTTTTTTCTCTATTTCTTACTCTTTTAATTTCGATTCTTTTTCTCTCTAAATTCTTTTTTCTTCAAGTTGTTACTCTCTTTCTTGAGCCTTCTTTCTTTTCTCATCCTCCAACTATTTTCTCTTTTCTACTATCGGCCTAATTTAATATTAAATTTACTATTGCATTAAACAAAAATGTCTAATCATATTTATGGTAAATTTGAAATTTACTTACACACAAATTTTGCAATACCAATCTTCATCAGGAACAATTTTCAAGCCACAGCACTTTATGTGAAATGATCTTACACAGTTATCACAACAAAGAAGATCACCCCCATCCTTGCATTCATTACAATGATCCCTATTCGGCTTCTTTACACTTCTCTCCATTGTGTCATCATTAGGAATATCTTGGCTTCCCTTTGGTTTTCTTCCCTTTTTACTAGATTTGTCTATAGATTAATCCATACTCAAATCTCTTCCATTCTTTTAAGAAGCTTTTTGGGACATTGGCTCTATTTATGATTTTTCCTCATCTATCAAATTGTGTTAACATGCAAACTCTCCATATATAGTAAGAAGTATATTGTTGGCGCTTTAATTTTAAAGAACGAGTCTTGGTGATATTTGTCGATAAAAAGTGGCATGTACTTACCTTGATCATATTTTAAGTTACTATTTTCATGTCTGTTTAGATGTTCAATAGGTGAGGAAGTTGTTGGGGTTGAGCTCTAGACTAAGTTTTTAGTCTCTTAAGACTTCTAAGATTTTTATGCTTCTGACTTGTTTGCTTTGTTCATTTTAGTATCAATAAAATGTCAAAATAATAATTATTATTGCTAGGGAATACTGGCGTAATATTTTGCCTCGCAATTTACTACTAATATTTTCACTAAAGTATATTAATAGATTTTCAAAACCCTTTCAAAGACCATAAAAGCATCAAGGGGTTTTGGGGTTTTGGGGTTTTGGGGTTTTGGGG